AGAGTAAAGGATTAACTGATTATTTTGTTGACCATTTAAATAAAAGTTTGGAGACTTGAATGGATATATGCACTGGTCAACCACAAGGAAATCTATACCATCCTTGATTTTATAAACTATAATGATGCCTCAGTAATATACTTTAGAAATCTTGACTTTCAGAAACATTTATGTTCACCTGCTTATCTGTCCATTCTGAAGAAGTATTATGTTCTCACTGTCATAACTTTGCCTACAGAAGTGGGAAGCTACATTCCAGAAGAACAGGCAAGCAAGGTGGAGTCCCTGGGAATATGTAGATGGGGGTTGGGGGGTAGGGATTTGTAAAAAGCAAAACAAAACAAAAAAAACTTCATCCCAAGGAAACTTGATCCTCTTCTACCCAGTTACATTGCAGAATAAAGAACATTAGTTAGCTGCATACCATTTGTGAGTACTGGACTATATGGATTTTCTGGAATGCTTTGAGGAACTGGATCTGAGAAATCTACTGAAATAAAGAGAAAATGAAAAGAATAGAGCACTTAGCATTTAACCCACAGTGATTTTTACAGCTATTTTCAGTTTCTCCTTATCATTTTCCTTTCACTCCAAGTGTCTCTGAGTGTCTTGCTCTCCTAGAGAGTTGCAAGAGGCTAGGCCACTTTTAGTATGCAGTCTTAGTTTTCCAAGCGCCCCACATCCCTGGGAGAAAATAATTTTGGTTTTGTCCAAAGCTCTGTGGGCAAATGGTTCAAGCAGGATGTCCAGCTCAATGTCTTGCTACCAATTTCTCTGTGAAGCCTGATGTTCACAGTCTCTAATGCTTGCCAACTCCCTTCTATACACTAGATGGTTTAATTTGTGGCATACAGTTTGTAAAGGCAGATTCAGAAAATATGCAGGACTCTACAGAAACATTGACACAGTGGCAGCAGCAATGGACTCAAACTTAACAATTGGGAGGATGGAGTTGGAGCAGGCAGTGTTCCATTCTGTTGTACACAGGGTCGTTATGAGTCGGAAGCACCTAACAACAACATGAATATTTGCAAGTATTCTCATGATATGTGATAAAAGCTAAGTTGTTTCCCTCTTAAAGAGAATTCTATCTTGGCTTTTTCCTCACCTACCTTCTGAGAAGGACCCTGGTTTTCCATATTGGTTATTTTAGGTTTTGTCATGAAGAATTGAAAAGGAAAGGGAAGGATGAGAAGTATGAGCCAGAAGGGGCTAGAGTTGAAGTTGGAGTATTTTGAGAGAGTTGGAGGTGAATATGATAAGTGATTTTAGCTTTTTTTTTTTTTAAGTTGGCATTATTTATCTTCTCTTCAAAGTATTTACAAACAATAGGAAAAGGATTCTAGTTATTTTAGAACCACATTGGTTACTGGATTACGTTCTTCTTACCACAATATCATTTTAAGCCGAAACAATGTGAGTCATGACATTAGCAATACAGAGACTATTAATAAATCAGACAACTTACTATTTGATAAAGCTAGATCTTTTTCTTCATCTTGGACTAGATCAGCATATATGTTATATTTGTATTCTGAAACCAAAAATAAAACATGTTGGGTTTAGAAGAAAACTAACAACCTACAAGATGTTCTAAATTGGTGTTTTTCAAACTTGTTGACCATGACCTACAGCAAAAAAAAATGTATTTTCCATTGTAGCTCAGTACATACACATGTATGTATAAATGAAACAGCAAAGGTTACAGGAAACAATATTTCTATGTTTCCATTGTAGCCCAGTACATACATGTATATGTAAAATGAAACAGCAAAGGTTACAGGAAACACTATTTATCAGTTTATATCTAGTATTACTTTCCCTTTTCTTTTCTACTCACCTTTCTCTTTTCTATTCTAGTTCATAGAGGGGAAAATGTTGGTCTTCGTACCTTATTCTTATCTTTCTATTTACCCTTTTCATATCATTGTCATTTTAGTTCACTGGGGAAATCACAACCTATTAAATTGATTTTGTGACCCACAGAACTTTTTTTTTTTAATCTACATAAAGGTTATTTCCCACAATTTGGGAAGTTATGAAGTTCTTGTGTGGTGCTGAAGGATAAGCACTGGACTGCTAACCATAAGGTTGGTGGTTCAAATTCATCAGATGCTCCTCAGAAATCCTATACAGGCTTGCTATGAGTCAGAACCAACTCAATGGCACTTAACAGCAATGGCAACATACTAAGTTATATTTGAATTTAACACTCACTTAAAAATAATCCTCCAGAACAACTTTTAAGTCAAAGCTATTTCTCTGTTTTCTCACCACTAAGGTTCTCCTATCTGTCTAAGATTATGACTCAGTAGGTGGGTCTGTGCTGGACCTCAAGGTCAGTCAAATCATAAAGTCAGAGGTTCACTCACTGGACATTCCTCCGAAACCCTATACAGGGTCACTATGAGTCAGAATCGACTCAACAAGACTTAACAACAACAAGAAGTAGGCCTAAGAGTCTCATTTTAATTAACAACTTAAATTGTTCTGATACTAGTTTTAGAGATACATGAGAAATACTACTGTACAATTTAGTTTCTACTTCTTCATTCTAGAAAGCTACCAGTCACTTTCTCATACACACTTTATACATTCTTCTCAGTCCTCTCACAAGGGCCTTAGAGCCCTCAGCCCTTGTCTGGAATATTTCTTGACAGTTGATGGATCAGATGGAATCATAGTGCTGTCCCTCAGACACCTATTTGACTGGACTTCTTAGGGTACCAATTCTCGATGGCACCAAGTACTCCATGCTCTCCTGGACACTGTTGTTGGCTGCTTGATAGCCTTACCAGGGCCAATGATATTGGACTATTATTAATATAAGACTTACCTCACCTAGTCCATGCTTTGCCCTTCCACTCAACAGCCATGTTTCTGAGGTCCTAAACAAGGAGCTCTGGTAGCGTAGTGGTTACGAATCGGGCTGTGAACCGCAAGGTCAGCGGTTCGAAACTACCAGCTGCTCCGCGGGAGAAAGATGAGGCTTTCTACTCCCGTAAGGATTTACACCCTCGGAAACCCTGTACAGGGTCGCTATGGGTCGGAACCGACTCGACGGCACTTAACAACAACAACAACAAAACAGCCATTCAGTCAACCAACATCTGGCCCCTGCCTTCCTTCCCAGTGTCACTCATTCTTTCTGGATATTCTGCTCTAGCCCAGCTACTCTAATTATGTCTTCTGCACACTACCTTAAATTAACCTAGATGTGTGCTTCTGGTCATGCCTCAATCATGTGAAATGCCTCCTGTGTCCATGTTGTCCCATTGGTGGGATACCTTTCACTCCCAACTTTTTACCCACCCTTCTACCCACACACCTCCTTTTCAATAAACTACTTTCTACTCAGAGAATATCAGAAAGATGTTTACCTGTGCTTTATTGACTACGCAAAGGTTTTCAATTTTGTGGATCATTACAAGCTATGGACAACATTGCAGAGTATGAGTATTCCAGAACACTTAATTGTGCTCATGAGGAATCTGTACATGGACCAAGAGGCAGTTGTTCGAACACTGAATGGTTTAAAATTAAGAAAGGTGTGTAACAGGGTTGTACTCTTTCACCATACTTATTCAACCTGTATGCTGAGCAAATAATCCGAGAAGCTGGGTTATATGATGACAAATATGGCATCAGGATTGGAGGAAGACTCACTAACAACCTGCGATATGCAGATGATATAATCTTGCTTGCTGAAAGTGAAGAGGACTTAAAATATTTACTGATGAATCTCAAAGAGCACAGCCTTCTGTATGGATTGCATCTCAACGTAAAGAAAACAAAAATCCTCACCACTGGACCAATAAAAAAACATTCGTATCAATGGAGAAAAGATTGAAGTTGTCAAGGGCTTCATTCTTCATTGATCAACTATCAACATTCATGGAAGCAGCAGTCAAGAAATACAAACGACTTACTGCATTAGGCAAATTTGCTGCACAAGAACTTTTTTAAGTGTTGAAGAGCAAAGATGTCAGCTTGAGGACTAAGGTGCACCTGACCCAAGCCATGGTGTTTTCAATAACCTCATATGCATGGAAAAGTTGGACAGTGAATAAGGAAGACCATAGAAGAATTGATGCTCTTGAGTTATGGTGTTGGAGGAAAATATTGAAAGTGCTATGGGCTGTCAAAAGAACCAACAGATCTGTGTTGGAAGAAGTGCATCCAGAGAGCTCCTTTGAGGCCAGGATGGCCAAACTTCGTCTCTTATACTGTGGACATACTGTCAGGAGGAACCAGTTGCTGGAGAAGGATATCATGTTTGATAGGGTGGAGGGTCAGAGAAAAAGAGGAAGACCCCCAATGAGATGGATTGGCAAAGTGGCAGCATTAATGGGCTCAGGTGTGGCAACAATAGTAAGGTTGGACCAGGATCAAGCAGTGTTTCGTTCTGCTGTGCATAAGGTCACTATGAGTCAGTATGAACTTGATGGCACCTAACAACAAGAACAACAACAACACTTTCTACTCATACTTCTAGACTCAGCTCTTACATACCCTCCTCTAGAAAGTCTTTCCTGACCTCCCATTCTATGTTAAGAGACCTCGTAGGTGGTCCCATTATATCACAGGTCTCCAATACAAATCCTATTTGTAAATGATTTATTTCCCACACTAAGTAGCAAGCACTTTGAGGGCAGGAACCATGTTTTATCTTTATGTTGTAGCATCTGCCATAGTTTCTGAGTACTTAAATGCGAATTTACTTATCTTCAGTCATCTTAAATCCCAACGAGATTTCAATTTGTGATTTAATTTTCTTCTTTATAATTACAAAGGTCTTTGTTTTCTGTGTTTCTAGATTACGTATTTTATGCTATATTGTCTTGTCCTGTTTATTGGAGGAGCCCTGGTGGAGCAGTAGTTAAGCTCTTGACTACTAAGAGAAAGGTTGGTGGTTTGAAAGCACCAGTCACTATGCATGGGAGAAAGATGATGCTTTTTCTCATAAAGATTACAGCCTTGGGAACAATATGGGGCAGTTCTGTTATGTCTCATAGGGTCGCTATGAATCAGAATCAACTCAACAGTAATGGGTTACGGGCCTTGTTTATTGAGCTTTGTAATTTACTGTTTGTCTTGTCATTTTCCTCTTCATATACTCATGACTCCTTTCCCCAGACACATTTGTGTCGTCATAACTCCCTTACTGTGTTCCCTGGAGACCCTCACCGTGGCCAGCACATAGACGGTGCTCCATGATTCTCTGGTCATTTCCTCCAAACAGATTTTAAATATGATCTTATTTTTAATATTAGACCAGGGAGATGAGTGATTTAACTCTCATTTTACATCAAATAAGTGATCAAATCTCTGATATTTAGTGTTAATACTTGGATAAAAAGTACTTTCTTTTTTAATTGAGTATACCAACCACTTTGATCTTCATCGCTGTCATTTTTGATAGATAAGATCCTTTCATGTTTTTTGGTTAATTCAGTTCCTAAAAATTAGTAAATTAAGTATTAGTTGAAAAGGTTACATACACCTCATACATGAATCATGTCTTTGACTATGTTAACAAGCAGAAATTTACAAAATGTAAGTGTAAGCAGAGCTCTGGTTACTTTCAATGCTCTGCTTTTGGAGTCTTTGAAACACTGCTTTGGGCAAGGCCCAGCAGTGTCTTTACGTACAGTGCTCCCTCTGAATGGAACAGCCTTCATTCCCACCTTGACTAAGGTCTGCTTTAATTTCATGACTCACCTACGCTAGGAAGCTGTTCCATCTTGCAAAATTTTCCTGGGGCCCTTCCCTTTTTTCTCAGGCACCTGGAACATTCCTCTGGCCAACAGCATGAAGCACATGGGTCCCTCACAGACTATAACTTCTAAGACCAAGGTTCACGCTCCAATATTCATTTCCTCCCTTTCCACTCCAGTCTCATTTTGACCTTCCCTGTTCCACAACTGACCTTACCCAAGTCTGAAATGACTCTATGCCCTACATTCAACAGGAACTTTTAAAACTTCAGTTTACTTGATCTTCCACAATTATCTCCCGTACAGTCACTATGTTCCAAACCCTTACTCTTGGAACAATCTTTGTCTTCAGGTCTACTGACTTCAGATTCTGGGTATTCAAGCTCTCTCTGATCACCGCTTCTCACAGTCCTCAGTCAGCTCTTCCTGCTCTACCAAACCATTTAATGCTAAGTTCTTTCAGGCTCTCTCACTAGATCTCACTCACGTGCATGGCTTCGTTTCTATGTATGAGGCAATGACTGCCAGTCTGACAACCACGGGCAAAATCTTTCTGAGCTCCACAAAATAGGCAGTACTCTATCTGACACATCTGTTTCAGATATTCCACAGGTATCACAGAATCAAAATGTAAAAAACTCACAAATCCTTTTCCCTGGTACCACGTTTTCCCTTTCCCAACTAACACACACACAATGTTCTAATTTCTCTCTCTCTCTCTCAAATAATGTTCTTTTGGCATTTTTCCATTTCAGTATATTCATCCATGCTCTTTACCAGAAGAAGCCTAAGATCTCTAGGACTCCATAAGCCAATCCACCACCAAGATTTAGTAATTTCACCTCATAACTAGCTCAAATTGCCATCAAATCTAGCCTTGACTGTAGTCATCTCTTCCTTGGGTCCCTGCACTAGCCTCCTACTTCCAGTCTTTATGCAGCTCATCTTGTCTTCCTCTAAACTGTTCTCCAAACTAAAACCAAACTGCATCAGGTCCCTCTCCTTGTAAAACTAGCTTTCACATCTACTCCTCACAGCTCAGTTTCTCTCTTAAGGTGTCAACTACTCAAATGTTTTGCAATTTTTTAAGCAAGTTGCTACAGTTTTCCTGCTTCAAGTCCTTCTTTTATGTCCTCAGGCATAAGCTCTCACAGCCTAACATTCCGTAGGTCTCCTTCGTACACTCCTCACAGCTACAGTCATCTGTATAATATATGATATATGGACTAGAGGGCCCAAGAAGATGAGATTAGGCATACTTTATTCACCCCTAGGTTTCTAATGTCTAGCACAGGCTTATCAATTACTGCCATACTAATGGTAATCAATAAATATTAATGGTATGTTAATGAAGCCATCTTGGACTCTCAAAAGATATTTCATTAAAGCTTCCTGCATAACTGAATTTATTTATCTCTGCATTTCTTTTTCCATACATAGCTTATCTTTCAGGTAAAGAAATGGATGATGTTGGCAGCAGTTCCTTATGAGGTTACAATGAAAGAAAATGACAATACAGGAAAGATGATAGCAACTTATTGTTTTTCTTAAAGATAGTTAAAAATAGGTATGACATACACAAAATTAGTAAAATAATAGTATTTTTAAGGTGTGATTTCTTTAGCATTCTGAGAATTTTTGTCTAAAGGACAAATAAACTTAGCAGCTCTTTAATTTTATTTTATCAACAGTTTAGTTTAAATGTGATAAAATATGGGATAAGTTATCTATATTGAAATTATAATTCACCTGTAACAAATATTTTAATACTCTTTCAAGAGACACTGAGTTTTAAAAAATCACATCTAAGATATTACCTGATTGGTATGGTTCATAATATAGCACATCTCCAAGTGCAACAAGTTTTTCCTGTTAAAAAAATTTGTAAACAGAGAATTAAATGGCCATAACTACTAATTTAAGTATTTTAATTAAAAAACATGTTGATACTTGATTTATAAATAATCAATAGATATTGCTAAAATGCCAGGAATCAAGTAAACAGATGAGTAGTATTTTTCTGCTGATTTCGTCAACATTTTATTGATTCCTTATTATGTTTAGGAACAAAATCCAAGATTAAAAGCATGGAAAGACTAATGTTTGCATTGCCTAGGAGAATAAGTTCAAAGCCATACTTAAACTCATTTTCCCGTTATGTATTCTGACATTACCTGAATTAAATCACTCGTCATTCTGATCATCATTTGTTCACTTAGTTCAATATCTTCAAGATCTGTAAGAACCACCCAACTTCCATTTTCAAATTTCACAGGCATGGAAAAGACAAGCCCTTCAGGAATACCAAATTGACCTGCAGTGTAAACAAACACAAAGCAAAACAAGCAAAAGAACTCAGAAAAATAAAACCTTGATATTAAAGAAGGTGGAGTCCTAGTGTGGTGCTATAAGATAAGCACTGAACCACTAATCACAAAGTGGATTGTTCAAACCCACCAGCAACTCTTTGTAAACCCTACAGAGTTGGAACCCACTCCACAGCACTTGACAATAACATTAAGGAAGGTAGAATTGGTTAGATAAAATTCATGTTTCCACCACTTGGCTGTCAGTGTGTCATACTGTGGTGGCTTGTGTGTTGTTGTGATTCTGGAAGCTATGCCGCTTGTATTTGAAATACTAGCAGAGTTACTCATGGTCGATGGGCTGCAACTGAGTTTCTAAACTAAGATAGACTAGAAAGAAGGAGAGGCAAATTACTTCTTGATGTTTACCCTTTGTAAACCTTGTGAATAGCAGTGGAACACTGTCAGCACCAGAATATTGGTTATTGAAACATGACAAATAGCACCAGAATACTGTTAGCTATAGTGCTAGAAAATGAGCCCTTCAAGATGGAAGTCACTCAAAATGGGAGTGGGGAAGAGCTGCCACCTTAAAGTAGAGTTGACTATGATGATGCAAATGGAATAAAGCTTTTGGGACCTTCATTTGCTGATGGGGCACAACTCAAAATGAGGAGAAACAGATGCAAATATCCATTAATAATTGGAACATGGAATGTGGGGCCATTTATCGGATTCCTTCTCCGACCGTGGGTTACTCGAGGGAGAGGCGGGGATCAGTGATTAGGTAAGGGACACATGCTGATGGCAAGTGACAAAGTTTATTAAAACGTTCCAAGCTTATATAGGACAAATCTGCCAAGTCATTGTGGTTTTAGCTATCGCACAAGTTTCCTTTTCCCCGAAATGGCTCAGGTAAATTCACCTGTAAGTTTCTAGTGCTGACATAATTGTTGCTAGGCAAGTTTGGTTTCAAGGTAGTCATGAGCTTTGGAAGGCTCTGGCTTCCTACAGTATGAATCTAGGAAATTGGAAATTGTCAAAAATGACATGGAATGCATAAATATCCTTGGCATTAGTAAGCTGAAATGGACTGGTAATGGACAGTTTGAATTTGAGAATTACATGGTTTACTATGCCAGTTGAAGAGGACTGGGGTCATATTCATTATCAAACAGAACATTTTAAGATCTATATTGAAGTACTAAGCTGTCTGTGATAAGATAATATCCATCACCTGTAAGAAAGACCAATTAATACCATTAATATTCAAATTTACACACCAAACCCTAAAGCCAGTGATGATGAAATTGAGAGAAATTCTACTGGCTTTTTCAGTCTGAAATTGATCAAATATGCAATGAAGATGTATTGGTAATTTCTAGTGACTGGAATGCAAATGTAGGAAACAAAGAAAAAGGATCAGTAGTTGGTAAATATGGCCTTAGTGATAGAAACATTGTTGGAGATCTCAAGAAAGAATTTTGCAAGACTGATGACTTATTCAATATAAGTATCTTTTTTTTAAACAACACGAAAGATGATACATGTTACACATGGACCTTACCAGATGGAATACACAGAGATGAAACTGACTACATCTGTGGACGGAGACAGAGGAAAAGCCCCATATCTTTAGCTGAAACAAGGCCAGGGTCAGATTGTAGAAAAAATCATTAATTGGTGAAAGTTCAGAGTGAAGCTGAAAAAATTTAAAATAAGCCCATGAGAGCCAAAATATGACCTTGAACATATCCAACATGAATTTAGAGATCATCTAAGAACTTATTTATTGAACTAGAAACTAATGACCAAAGATCAGAAGAACTGTGGTATGACATCAAAATATCATACAGGAAGAAAGCAAAAGTTCATTAAGAAGGTAAGAAAAAAGGAAAAGAACAAAATGGATGTCAGAAGAGATTCTGAAACTTGCTCTCTAGTGTAGAGATGTTAAAATAAATGGAAGAAATGAGGAGGTAAAAGAAATGAACAGAGAACTTCAAAGGGCAGCTCGAGAAGATAAAGTCAAGTATTATAAAGAAATGTGCAAAACCTGGGGTTAGAAAACCAAAAGGAAAGAATGTGCTCAGCACTTCTCAAGCTGAAAGAACTGAAGGGAAAATTCAGGCTTGCCTTGAAATATTAAAAGATTCTATGGACAAAATATTGAGTGATGCAGAAAACTTTGAAAGAAGAGGGAAGGAATAAATTGAGGCACTGTACCAAAAAGAAATGATAGAGTTTAACCATTTCAAGAGGTATCATATGATCAAGAGCCAATGGTATTGAAGGAAGAAACCCAATGTGCACTAAAGGCATATGCAAACAACAAGGTCCAGGAATTGATAGAATAGGAAATGAAATCTTTCAACAGTTTGATACTGCACCGAAGGCACTCATTCATCTATGCCAAGAAATTTGGAAGGCAGCTACCTGGCCAAATGATTGAAAGAGATCCATAATTATTTGTGCTCATTCCAAAGAAAGGTGACACAATGAAATGCAGAAATCACTGATAATATCATTAATATCACATTAAAGTAAAATTTTGCTAAAGATAATTAAAAATAGTTGTAATAATACATTGACAGGAAACTGGCAGAAGTTCAAACTGGGTTTAGCCAAGGAAGTGGAACAAGGGATACCATTGCTGAGATCAGATGGATCTTTATAGAAAGCAGAGAATACCAAAAAGATGCTTATCTGTACTTTATTGACTACGTAAGAGCTTTCAACTGTGGGGATCATGACACGCTATGGATAACATTGCTAATAATGGGTATTCCAGAACACGTAATTGTGCTGATGAGGAGCCTGTATATAAACCAAGAGGCAGTTTGAATAGAACAAGGGGACACTGAGAGGTTTAAAATTAGGAAAGGTGTGTGCCAGGATTGTATTCTTTCTCCATACTTATTCAATCTGTATGATGACCA